AAATCACAGTCAATTAATAAAAGGGTTTTTTGTCGGGACAAGGAGTTTGCTTCATGTTATTGGGAAGCTCGGTCAGAACAGGCAGGGAATGGTGTATTTTTCACGAAAGTTTTAAAAGGCTTTGATGATGTGTTTTTTTTTCTCACTGCAAAACTTGTGCCCTTTCCCCCCCCCCTTTTCCTCTTTCCCAGCAATATGCCGGTATCCTCTGGGGATGTACGAAGGGTCGATCAGAGACGAGGACATTACTGCTTCCAGCCAGTGGTATGACTCAACTGGACCACAGTATGCCCGGTGGGTGGAATTTCTTCCAAAGTTGGCCTTGGTACAATACTTTGAGTCATCATCCCCCCCCCCCCCCCCGCTTTTGGGCAATGTACACAAGCCACCCAACCAAGGGAGAGGCAGAAGGAATGGCCTTGAGGGAGAGAGAGAAGAGCAGCAACCAAGACATGGTCAGATAAAGGAGGCCAGTGTCCAGAGCAAGACAGGCCATTCCCCATTTCTCACACAGATAAAGGGAAGGAGGGGGAAGCTCATGCAGGCTTGTGCAACTCCATTACTAAAGCTTTACAACAAAGTAGTAGAGATTCTCGGTCATCCAGGTCATGGTTGTTCCAAAGGTTGCTTTTTCAAAAGGCAAACAGACATTGTTTTTTTCCTTGAGGAGGTTCCGCTTCTCATCCAGGGAAGCTTCTCCAGTTCTGACTGAATGGTGTGGAACGGAAGGATTCAGTCAGAAGTGAAGAAGCTTCTTGGATGAGAAGTGAAACCTCTTCAGGGAAAAAAAACCAAAGAAAACTCAGGTCCCTCTTGAAAAAGCACCTTTGGGACCACCATGGACGACCGAGAATCTCCACAGACATTTGGTTGAGTGGGTCTTTTGTCACCATTGATGATTGGGGACATTCTGGTGAGCCAAGAAACCAAGTTCTTATTCAAGAACCTGTAGCATAATACAGCAGTGGTGGGATTCAGCCGGTTCGCACCTATTCGGGAGAACTGGTTGGTAACTTTCCAGGCAGTTCGGAGAACCGGTTGTTGGAAGAAATCTCCTTTTGTTTTTCTCCAATTTACAGGGTTAATCCTATAAGAAAGGCAGGAAGGAATATTCTGGTGTTGTTTCTAGCCTCATCTTTATTGCCCTGCTTACAGAAAC